ACGGCTTGTTCGCGTCGCGGGCCTCCGGCGGGCATGGCACCGAGGCGGTGTTTTATCGGTTTTTGTAATGTCGTCGCAGCAGCTGCAGTTTTGGGAACTGAAGTGCTGGCTGGAAGTGGAGGGAGAGGCACAAAGCACACCACGCCATGTAGAAATCGGGGTGTAAGCTGGGGAGGGGGTGAAAAAAAAGAAAACTGGGCAACCAGCCTGCTCCCCAGTAAGCTGGTTGTGTTCCGGTGTGCCGGGGGTGCTGCTTGCCCCCCAGGTGGTTACCACAGTGTAAAAGCAAGTCCATGGAAATTGCAGCTCAGGATGCCAGCAACGGGCCCGGATCGGTCCCCACGGGAGGCTCATGCTGCTGAGGGAGCAGGGCAGGGGACGGGCAGTGCCCGGGTAGGTGACTTTCCATGCTACGCGCATGGCGGAGACGGAGGGAGCTCGAGCCCTGTGCCTGTCAGACAGCGAAGGGCAGTGCTTGTGCGGGCAGCGAGGCTCTGTCCCACAGAAATCAGCCCTAGCAGGGTCATCAGCCCTGCTAAAAAGCGGCCATTCTGCTCCCAGGTCCCTAGCTGGCATCTCTGTCCCACGCTGCGCGGGTGCCCTGGCTTATGTGGAGCTACCTCGCTGTGGCTGGGAGATCCCTGGGGACCTAGGGTGGGGGTCCTGTCTTCCAGGTGAGTTACTTGCTGCTTCCCATTACGGGAATGTGACCTGATTCTCTCCTCTTTTGGCTCCTGGCTTGATTTCAGTGGTGTTCGGCCAGTAGAAGTTTGAGTCTTCACTGATGCTACAGGCCTGGAAGTCATAGCTGGCTGAGAGTGGAGTACTCTTCACTGTGTCTCCTCACTCCCTTGTCTACCCTGCAACTGAGGTAAATAAGTGCCCATGGCAGGTCCCAGGTGCGTAGAAGGGCTCTCCGCTGCCCGCACGTGTGCTTAGTGGGTGACTTGTACCTGTGCTGCCAAAGAGCAGTGGCTGGCAGAGCAGTGGGTCTGGATTCTTCCCTGTGCACTGCTTTTTCTCCATGTAACTCTACTGGTCTGTGGAGTTATGTCTGACAGAGGAGGTGTTCCACAGTGCCCAGTTATCTCAGAGCTTGGTGGAACTGAACAAAGTTGACGTGGAGCTAGAACACTTCCACCAGGTACTGCTCCAGACCCTGGTTGTTAGATGATGCACATTTTCTCGTGGGCGAGAGCTGAAGGTCATTTGTCCCAGTCATAGCTCTTTGGTGCAAAATACCTTCACTCTCCTGAACTGCACAGGGTCTCAAGAAAAATGTGCTATCTGCTGGGCCTCTGTGTCCATGAGCCCCCAAAGTCCTCTGAAAGGACTGCCGTGAGGCACCAGGTAGGGGAACCGTCGCTGTGTCTGCCTGGAAGTGCTCTGAAAAACAGCAGCTGAAGCTGCAGTGCAGGCACCCTGCGGCAGAGACACCATTAAAGACCGGCAACGTGGTGTGCACGTCTTCGTGGGCTGTGTCCCTCAGAAAATCCCCTCCAGTCTCCTGCCTCGTATGCCCCTGTGCCGGGAGGAGTTCTGCTCCGTCTTGCTGAGCACCAAAACCCCAGTGCCCAAGGTGTTTCCTTAGCCCGAGCGCCCTGAAAAGCTGCTGGGGAGCGGGGCTGGGGTCAGAGGGAGGGAGGAAGCAAGGACGTGCCAGTAGTGGTGGTGGATCCTTGGAGATGGTGTGGGGAGGGCTTGGCAGCCCTTTCAGCACTGTCCTATTGCAACAGGAGGGAGGAGGATATACGGGGGTTACTTAAAAGCCCTCAACTTTTTCCAGGCTTCTATTGCACTTCAGAAATTCTGCAAGGGAGAAGAAAAAAAACCAAAAAAACCAGACGGTCTGAAAAGAAGGTACCCTTGCTAACTAAAAACTTCCTCTAAGAGCTTACTGCTGTTAAATAATTGCTGCATTTTGAATCGCTGTTTTCAGACGCTTTGGGAAGAAGTTGCGTTCTCAGCCATGAATATTTTCTTAGAAGGATGGCATGGCTCTTTTATTGCTACATGCTTACACTGAAATAGATGTGAAAGCAGTTTTGACTAGCTCAAAGAGAAGTCTCTGATCAGCCTACATCTGAGATTTCCCTTAAGGTTGTTAGGGGGAGAGAAATGAGTGGATAAGTGCTTTTTTCTTTCCTTCCCCTCCCCCTGCTTTTCTCCCTCTCTTTTTTTCTCAGAAGTGGATTGTCTGGGTGCAGGAGTTAGCCCTTCAGACACTGGGTGTTTGTGTGCATAGGGACAAAAATACAGTTCCCCAGTAATCATCCGCAGACTGTTGTAGGCTGTAGCATTTGGGATGATTGCAGTGTAACTTAGAATGACATTTTTATTAGGGGAGGTAGCGTGTGATGCACTTTCTGGAAATATAATTTGCTATTTTGGATTCAATAATGCTGTTTTGGAGGGTGGGAGAGGGAGTGATTTTCCAGTTCTTTTACCTGAAACTGCCTAATGTTTTTAATGCCTGCTTCTCCTAGGCAAACACTTCTGTGTTAGGCTTCCCTCTCCTTCTCCCACCCCCCCTTCTTCTCTTATTCATGTGTTTTGACAAACACAAAATGCCTTCCAGTCCTTAGAGAGCTGTACTCCATCATTGGACTGATGTTTTCTGCCTCTCAGTTTTTATTTATGTGAGTCTAAAAATGTGTAGCTTACTGGCATCCCACACTGTTTTTGGTTTCTCCCATCTTACATGTGCCACGTTGGCTCATGTTTGCTTTTTCCTTGCGCTCTTTCTTTCACGGAAAAACATTTCCAATACAGGATGTCTGAAACAAGGAGCACCAAAGAAGAGAAGAAACCTCCTCTGAATGGAAGAAGAGCTGTCCCATCAAACAACTCCAATGATGAAGAAAATGAGGTCCCTGAGATGGAGCCTTTTGGATTGATACCTAGAGGATTTAATCCAAAAGGTACAGTCTACAATTAAGATACGAGTCTGTTTTTACATCTTCCATACTCACCTCTGCCCAGGTCTGTGAACTAAAACCACTTTTTTTGCCTAGGATTGTAATTTGTGTCCTACATACTTCTAGAGCTCCTTACATGCTTTGATCACAGATAGCTTTTATTGCTGCTCATTGAAAAAACTTAGTTTTAGTAAATACCTATGTGCATGGAAGTGTTACCTCAGGTTATGGGTAGGGAAAAGCGAGGAGCAGAGAAGTTGAGTAACCAGTTTTCAGCTTGAACTGTGGAAGTGGTGATAAAAAGGCAAATCATAAATCACCAGTTTAATCATAGTCACAGAGTCACTCTAGAAATTGCTGGCTTCAGGCATTGCTGTGGTAGCACTGGGGTGAAGGGGGCAGGAGGACCCTCCCCTCTTAATTGCCTGTCTGGTCTGTACAGCGTTAAACTGACTGTGAAACTACTGCAAAAATCTGGCTGGCAGGGAAAACTTTGGCTAGATATTCAACTTTCATAAAAATGACCACAAAACTAAAAGGAAGCCCTGTAACTTTAATTATTCTCCTGTGAAAAGTGTTTCGATTGTTTGGCTGGGGGCTCAAAACTATAAGGTAGGGGATGGCAAATCAGGCCACATGCTCAGTGGACTCTGGAGTGAACCTGAAGAAAAAAAAAATAGATAAGATTTGGTTTAAAAGAAATCAAGATTGGCTCCCGAATGAGTCGCCAACAAAATTATGTTGATTTTTTGGCCTGTTTGAAATGAACATCAGAACTTGTTGAACGTGGCAACTCAGGGTAACCAGATGTAATAATACTTCATGCTCATATAAGACTTTTCAGCTAGGGTTGAAAGAGTTCTTAGGAAATGTGGACAAGCATTAATTACCACATTTTGCACACTGGGAAACAGGCAAAGAGATTTTCAGTGACAAGTTGAAATTTTTACTGCAAAGCATTATTTCTGTGATCTTAATCATGTGCCTTAATCACATGCCACCCCCATTTTAATACACACACGTTTCTTTAAAAATAATTTCTTTTAAAAAACGCCTGAGCAAACCAAGTGGCATGTTAAGACTGTAGAAACTTTGCTCGAATATTTTCAAACCCTGTAGCTCTGGGGCAAGTATGTGTGTTTAAATTGTCAAATGTAACACAATACAGGTCCTGACTAGCTATAGTTTCAAAACCAGCGTGCTCACAGAGCTGAAGATGTGTGAGGTTGTGGGATACCTTAGAAGGAAGGAAGCCTGCAGCTAAAGCCCACCAGTACCAGGAGAAAGATTCCTATTGCTTTTTGATATGCTTCACATCAGGCTCTGAATGAAGTGCGGTGCTGGTGGGTGGGACCCTCTTGCTTTTCAGCAATGCGATGGAAATTTAGGAATGTCAGGTCAAGTGAGTTGAGGCAGGAACCCAAAATGTGCCTGAAGTGATGCTGCCGGTGAGAAAAACAGCCCTTGTCCAAAGCAAGAGTTTGTGTGGCCGTAGGATAAACGTGGCTATGGGACTGGTATGGCTGAAAAGTGAATAGGTGCATAACAGCAAAACTTTTTGTACAGCTGGATCAGCTCTGCAATGCTTGTAGCACAACGCGCAAGGGGTGAGCTGAAGGGAAGGGACTGCAGCAGCGTTCCTGTTGGCTGGAAAGCTGGGCAGAGAGGAACCTGATGAGGTTCAACAAAGGCAAATGCAGGGTCCTGCACCTGGGGAGGAACAACCTCATGCACCAGTACAGGCTTGGGACGGACCTGCTGGAGAGCAGCTCTGCGGAGAGGGACCTGGGTGTCCTGGTGGACGACAGGTTAACCATGAGCCAGCAATGTGCCTTGGCTGCCAAGAAAGCCAATGGGATCCTGGGGTGCATCAAGAAGAGTGGGGCCAGCAGGACGAGGGACGTTCCCATTCCC